ATTGTCTTAGATATATTTGTACATTAAAGAATTATTAATTTATGATATTAATGGGATCATATATTTATATCGGGGTCTTCTGAAAATATATTATCTTATTATCTTATCGAAATTAATTATTTTTTCCATTGGCCCAAGCGAGACCCAAGGAAGATATTATTTTAGAGAGGTTATTAATTTATCGAATATTAATTTATAAAAATTTGCTTGTATATCTTTAAATAGATTTGAAAAGAAAATATAAGTGAAAGAAGCTCTCATGAAATAATAAAATAGAAAAATATTGACTGCAAAAATAGTAATAAAAATTTAAAAATAAGATACTAAAATATTTAATAATACTAAAAAGGAAAAGTGGGAGCAAATTAGTTGCTCCAAGCTAGAATTATCACTCCTACAAAAAAAAGATCTCTCAATTATGTTAACTTTCTCTATATTTTCTATTTAGAGTCATATTATGTAACGATTTGAACTGTCGTTATTTAGGAAAAATAAAAATTCAAGAAAATTACTAGATCACTGTCCCGTCCAGGCGGGCTAGGTGCCACTAGGATGGCGGCACCACAGCTGGGTAAGCTGGAGCCAAAGCGAAATAGGCGAAACAGAATGTTAATAATGTGAAATCTTATTCTCATTTTCTTCTTAAATTACCTAAATTAGACGTAAAACATCCTAGAAACCGCCTAAAAATTTGCTCTAATTAAGCTTGGGAATGAAGGAGAAAGAGATTTTGGCGTAAGGAGCGCGATGGATTGCAAATTCCCGGTCAAGATTACCGTCATGAAGTCCGAAAACAAGAATCGAAGCCCAAAACTCTGTGCAACTGCTTAGTGCCCAAATAGACTAGGTTTATTAATTGAGTAGTTATAATTTTGTACTCAATGCGTAATATAATGTAAATCAATGATAGGATTTATGTGTAGACATTTGCACACCGAACAAAAGATGATTTAAATCATATGAAGAATCCTTAGATGATTAACTAGGGTTATGTATGGTCGAGATACTGTCTTAGTGATATATGTTGACGAATACTACATAGGTGATAGTTGTGATTTCATTCATGATTGTGTGATATATATATATATATATATATATATATATATATATATATATATATATTA